AAAATCACAAACTCTTACAATTCAAAGTCCTAAGCTTACTTCATGTAAAGACCTTGCACTCGCCACTCGATTAAAAATTACAAACTCTTTCAGTTCAAAGTCCTAAGTCTAATTCATGTAAAGACTTTGCACTCACCACTCGGGAACTCACAACCCTAACAATCGTGGATCAACTTCTTTCCTAAAAAAATATATCTATTTTGAGTTAATTTTTCAATATAATGATTAATATAAACAGATATACTATGCAGCATGACTTAAGCTAATACATAAAATTAATAAAGGTCACGTACATCCCATGCAGTTTTTCCAGAAGCAACTTTTCTAACACTTACAGAAAAGCCCTATTGGCCAGTACTAAATACAACCTCTACATAAAATGGCAGTTACTATAATAAGCACCACTTATATTCATATTGTAAAATCCAGAGAACAACGTTTCATCACGTGCTTTTCTTATCATCCTATGATTTGTCAAATGTGAGATACAGCAATTGGAATAATTGGTACTGAAATTGACACTTTCGACTAGGATTGGCTAAAAGTTTTACAACTGAGGTTTAACACGCCCAGACGCAGTTTTATAAAGAAAAAAAGTCTAGAAAAGGGTTTAGATACCAATCATAGATGGCAGGACCAGTGCTGAAGTGAAAGGAAATATTTTTTTGAAAAACATTTCTTCTTAGAGGGCGCTTATTTACAGTCTAAAACGTATTTTAGGAATTTTTTCATTAGATTTCTCTTTAAACTTCATTAAATAATACAATTTTGTACAAATAGTTGAATGTTATGCTACTATTTATAAAAATAAAATCAGAAATCCATTAAAAGATAAGTTCTCTATCATTTTTTCAATTCACAAATGATTTTGGCCTCACACTTGCATTGCCTACTAAGAAAGTTAGTAGCCAGTAGTCATCGGGTTAAGTTGACAGGATACATACACTCTACACAAACCAGTACAATATAAAATCTTTCAAACAGATTATAAAATAGGATTGAAAACCTTGTAAACTTCAAAACAATGCTGTGACAAAGTTTACTAATCGTCTCTTTCAACAATATCTCAAGGAACAAGACATTCACTTCTTTAACACACGTAACAAATCAAAAGCATCTATAGATATATTTAATTAAACTCTTAAAACTAGAATGTGTTACTACTTTTCTCATAGTGGATTGTTTGTTTGTTATGGATTTCGCGCAAAGCTACATGCGAGCTATCTGCACTAGCCATCCCTAATTTAGCAGTGTAAGACTAGAGGGAAGGCAGCTAGTCATCACTACCCACCGCCAACTCTTGGGCTACTCTTCTACCAACAAATAGTGGGATTGACCAATACATTATAATGCCCCCACAGCTAAAAGGGAGAGTGTGTTTGGCGTGATGGGGATTCGAACCTGTGACCCACAAATACCTGGCCATGCCGGGCCCTCATAGTAGAATTTATAAATATATTACTGTATTGAAACTATATAATCAATCACATCATTGTAGCATTGAAATGATACCAATATATGTTAATCACTCTAACCAGTCTGTGGTGTGGAAAACACTTTACAAACCAGTCACTAAAATAAAATTTCAGTTAAAGTAGGTGATCAAGTACGTATTAGTAAAGTGAACTATCAGTTTAAGAACGGTTATATGCCTGGAAGGCCAGACTAAATATTTACGTTGACCAGAGGATAGAGAGAAATCCACCAGTGTATAAACTGCAAGACTATTTCAGAGAATAATTAAATGGAACATTTTATGAGTATGAACTAGAAAAGAGTTATAAAGTCTGCTGATGATGTCTATGCTGAAGAAGAAATATTACGTGGATGAGAAAGGGGTAAAAATAAACAATATTTTGTAAAATGGAAAGGATATCCTGACAAATTTAATAGCTGGATCCTTTAAACAGATCTGGATCGCCTAACGTTATAAGATGGTATACATAACTGTATTCCTCGTTATTCAAATGGATCAGTTGTAATTGACGTAACCTAGTAACAATTCTATGAATTGTTTTGCTAATAATACTTTGACAAACTATATCAGTCATCTTCCGAGATCTATCAACCTTAAAGGTTTGTGAAAAGTGGCCTTGGTCGAATTACAGTACCCACATAGCTGGAATAGCGTGCCTGATGGTACAGGATGGATATTATACTTTTCAGGCTCTCATTCTGCTACTATAATAAATTATATTAGATCAGGTCATTACAGAGAAGCTGAAGGTTTAATTAGAATCTTAAACTAATTAGAAGATGCACTTCGTAAATCCGACAATGAACTTGTATTTACTTATGATTCTAATAATGGCTGGAGACGGCTTAAATGGGTAATGAAGAAAAACTTT